AGAGAGTTTAAAAAATTTAGCTTGACATATGATATTTCTTCATTTGGCATAAAAGTTTATATTTGTTCAGCAATCAAACTTCATCCTAATAAAATAAGCTCTTCTAAATAGCTTTTGAAAAATAGTCACATATGGATTATATTTTGTATGTAGGTGTTTTGATGCCAGAAAACATATTTTTTGTTCTCTGTCTGCATCACATAGCTGAGTGGAATGCTGGTGGGTGACCATGGCTCCTAGGCGTGGACATCATTACAAGCCCACAACCTGAATCTACATGCAGTATATGCTGAACAAGAAAGCTTTTCAAGCATACCAGAAACCATACTTTTCAGAGAAAACCCAAGACTTTAAAATTATTTAGATACTTAAAGATTTTATCTTATAGTAATTTATTCTTTTAATTTCTAATATCCTGTGTATGAGGATTTTTGAACTATTCCTAGATCAAGCAATATTTTGAAATTCAGAGAAATGTAAAATACTTCATTTTCAGAAAAAAAAAGGCCCCCAAATAAGCACTTTTTCCTAATTAATTTTCTCTCATTCAGATGATGGTAATTTATATGTTAAAAAGCTGATGTTCTGTCAACATAAAGCTAAAATACTGCTTTTTCAGTAAGTACAATATTTTCCAAACTCCATCATATAGACAGATTGAAATTCCTTAATTAAACAGAATTTTGCCAACGTGAAGCACAGTCTTAAACTTGATTTTCCAGTTCATTTAAAGAGAAATTTAACTCAATTCAGAATAACCTCAGCTTTTTCTGGTAGTACTTTATAAGGCTTGATATGAAGCACAATGCTACTTAAATTAGAGGTTTTTTCATATAATCATCTGCAATAGAATAAACAGTAGAGTACCTGCACAAGAATAACAGGCCTGGTATGTTAGTATACTATCTTGAAACCAATGTGCACGTCTCTTTCTCTCATTTAATGCCAGCTATTATTGTTTGCCTACTTAGGTTTGAAATAAAAAGCAAAAACCACATTTTCCTTGCTGATTTACATTTCTTTTGGATATGTTTAAAATCCACAGGAAACTGAATTCTTTGAGTGTCAGACCTTTTCTAAGAGAAAACAAGGAGTGTTCTTCCCATATATAGCAAAGAAGCTCACACACCTCAGCAGAAATGTAATGATGGCCCCACACAACACACACTACCAAGATCTTGCTTTGGCCCCAAGTCATGAATCACTTCTGAGGCACTGCTGATCTTACTCATCAAGTCAGGAAGACAGCAGTGTGCTCAGAAACTCAGAAGAGTTGAGTCAGTGCTTGTTCTAGACTCATTACAGCTCAGCTAGAAAAGTTACTGCTGTTTGGTGAGACAAATCAAGCTCCTTTCTCTCCTTAACAGAAGATTTCAAAAGACCAAGCAAAGCAGTTCAGATGTACCCTGTCTCTGTTGGACAGCTTGCCTTACTTCTGACTTTGCCTTACTTCTGGAGGAGCAGGTCTAGGCATGAGAGATACTGGCTTTCTAGGTGTATTAGGGCCAGGTTCTTGGCTGTCATAGATCATTTACATCTCCCTGAGTCATTAAAAACTATTCTAATTTACTCAAGAAGAGCTCTGGCCCCTGTGAATTTTGGCTTCTCTGCAAAGGCTTTTAGTAAGGTGCCAGCTGTCCTGGCAGTGAGGATACTTTAAGCAGCACTCCAAGTTAGCAGTAGCATGCAGGAGCTCAGCCCAATAACATTTCTCTCTGCAAGAATTAAGTACAGCACTTATTTTAAGCTTCCACAATTCTTACTGTTCCATTAAAACAAAGAACAATTCACACAGTGAATACCAGCAAAAAAAAAAAAAAAAAAAAAAAAAAAAAAAAAAAAAAAAAAAAAAAAAAAAAAAAAAAAAAAAAAAAGAGCTAACAAGAGCAAGCAGGTAGTTGTAGTTGTCGGGTTCACAGCACACACCACTACCATCCAATGACATTAAAGCTCTTAATCTCAAACCTATACCTATACCACAAAACCATGCACATTTCCATAGGCCTCCTTAATACTAAATAATTGAACAACATTTCCCCATGGGTATTCCAGCTCCAATTAGAAGCCCTGACAAGAATCAACAAAATTTCAAGTCTGGGTATGGTAGGAGGAAGAAGTAAATCCCTTTCAGCACTGGGTGCTTTTTTAACCAGTCTTTGGTTGAGATCTAACCAGCACAGCTGAAGCTTTGGAGCAAACCCATGGAATGTTTTGTTAAGGATTCCAGCAGAAATAAAGAACTCTTCCAAGCTGGAAATTATTCCAGATACCTGAAAGAATGATGAGGGGAAAAGAGATCTTTCCCTCTGCCTCCCTCAATCTCAAACAAATAAAAAGAGGCATAACATTTTTTTTAACATCCTTTCAAAAATATTAAAAAAAAAAATTCTACCTTCATTCAGTCCAGATGCTGCTGCAATTATTTATCTTGTTGCTACCCAAATTTATTTTTTGTATTTTTGTGAATGAGAAAACAAATACTTGCAGAAATAATTCTACTTTCCAACTGTCAGAGAAATCTGAACACTCGTCTTGCTTGACCCAAGGTGCTAGTGCATACTTGGAAAACTGCGGATTAAGCTAAGAGAAAGAAGCCAGAGGAGAAGATATGGTATAGGATATTCAGCTGCAAGAAAAGGAAGATGGATCTTGAGGAGGCAACACAACTTCTACACCAGGACCTGTTTTCTAAAGTGTTTCCTAGTGTGCTTTAAGTCAGTGAGAGCTTCTCCGGATCACAAACTCTGGCTAGATGCCTGAATGCAGTAAGGCATTAAGTGGGTATACCTGCTCTGCAATTGCTGCCCAGAAACATCATCTAGGAGAGGCAATGCCAGAGTGGCATGACAATGACACCCCAGAAAAATACAGCAGAGAGGCAGCTTGCCTGCAGCAGTGCCTGGAAGAGCCTTCAGTGGCAGTGCCATGGTGGGCACTAAGAGGAGCTCAGATCAAAGGGCAGGAAGCAGCTGGTGCTTCCCGCAGGGCTTGGGCTGCAGCCCTGGGGAGGGGCAGCGCAGAGCAGCGGCCCAACCTCTCTGGGGCTGGTAATCAGAGTGAGAGACAGAGAGCAGAAGAGACCTGCATAGACCCTTTCAATTCAGTAGAACTCCTTCACAGAAGGAAATGGAAAAGAGAACAAAGTCTGTCAACAGACAGACAGAGAGAGGTGGGAATTGTGACCTTTTCTTTGGAATCACGAAGGAAGGACGCCAATTACTTAAAAACAAATAAAATAAAAACAATAGCGCTTTTATGAGTAAAAAACCCAACCAAACATAATCCTACAAATTCCCTAGGCCTCTTCTTCTCTCTATATAGATGTAATTTACTGTAATTCCTTGCCAGTAATCCTTCCCCCATTAACTGTCTTTGAATTTCAGTGCTCCTGCACACCAGCTCATTTTCTCTCTCATGCTGCCACCTACCACTGCGCTATGGTGACTTGTCCTGTGACTGATTTCTTGTTTTTAACAAGTTGTCGCTAAATGTGTGTGAATTATTGTAATAGACCTAATTAACTACCTTGCTAAGCACTCAGGCTCTAAAAGAAACCAAGCATCGGTCTCAGCAAGCTACCGCTAAGTACTGTGAAAGTCAGAAACTTGGCATTTTGCCGAGCTCCGGCATCCCTAATGTAGCAAAATCCTTTCATTTTAATTCGTCTTCCCCATCTGCAAGTAAAACAACCTCTTAGGTGAGATCCGGGCCTGGTGGGTGCTGACTGCCGGTGACCGAGGAGCAGGGCTGGTTTGATTCACGCAGTAACTTGTACCCAGCAGCAAGGCGAGCACAGATCTGTCGGCACCACCTGCAGCGCTCGCGTCCGTGGCAGAGCTTCCCTTTAGCGCTGCTTTCCGCTGCGTGATGCCCGCAGCTGGGCGCGGCAGCTGACAAACGTCTCCGTTTCCTCAGCACGCCCAAAAGTCAGCCCGCGGCCCGGAGGCTGCTCCTGCCCGTAAGGACTGCGGTAGCCCCGCAAGAGACGAGCGCCGGCGCCGAGCGCTTGGAGGACGGGGCCCGGCTAGCACTGGAGGAAGCGCAGGCTTCGCCGCGGGGTCCGCCCGCCCTCCAGGGCTCTGCCGCCCCTCGATGCCCGCAGATTCGGAGTACGCCTTCGGGCAGCTGCAGCGCAGAGAGATGATCCTGGGTACTGCTGGGATAGGCTGGGTCCGCAAAATGCTCAGCCCAGCCGGTTTCTGCCTACTTTCGAGTGACTCCTGGGACCCCGCGGGGGCCGGCTCGCTGTGGTTCGCTGCCCCCGCGGCCGCCCCGACGGCCGGGCGGCTCCGGCCGGCTCCGCGCCCTGCCCCGGCGGGACGCGCCGCTCCTTCGCCGTCCTTGCCCCTCGCGGGAGGCTTGAGGAGCCCCCCGCTCCCCGAGAGACACAGTGACGGGACACCCGAGGTGTCTCGCCTCTTGCAGGATAAAATATAAAAAATTAAAAAAAAGAAAAAAGAAGAAAAAAGACAAACACTCTCCCCCCCTCCCCCCCCAAAAAAAAACCAAACCCAAACCCGCAGTGATACAGAGCCATGAGCGCGGGGCTGCGGATCGGGAGCTACTGTTCAACACCCCGCACACAGACATTGCCACAAAGGCTTTTTTCTCCAAAGCTGCAAAATTCCCCGCACACTGCAGAACCGCAGAAAGCCAATTTGCAAGAGCCGCAAAGGTGGCTGCCTCCCCGCAGCGGGCCCACTCGCCCAGCCGGCTCATGGGCACGGGAGCGCCCGGCGTGCACGGAAGGGCGGCGGAGGCGGTGGGAGCGGGGGGGGGGGGAGGTAGGATTTAATTCTTCTTAACTGTCATACTTTAATAGGGATGGAAAATGTGAATTTTCTGTGCATTCCAGGAACAATTCCTTGGGGTGGTGACCTTTAGCACCGATTCTCTGAAGACAGGAAAGTAGTCGAGTGTTTATCTGGATGACTGAAAGCTTTCCCTGGTGGAAGTTTATGGAAGTGTTAAAAGGGGCGGATAACACGGGCTTTGGAGGCGCTTGTCCAATGATCTGGAGGGGCTTGGAGAGCAGATCTCAGCTGGCAGACATTTAAATGGGAGACAGCTCGGCGCTGCTGCAATTTGTAGGCAGGACCCGACATTCTCTCTCTCTATGGACTCCCGGGCAGATCCGGGCTCCCACGCCACCCGCTCCAGCGAGTGACCCACCGGTCAGAGCCCCGCAGAGCCCCAGGCCACGCCGGGGAGCCACCGCGACCGAGCCGAGCCCCGCCGCGGAGCCGCCGCCGCGCAGGTGAGCTGGGACGCGCCGCGCTGCGCGCACTTTCAGCGGGGGCGCGAACAGCTCCGGCGGCTGCGGAGTTCGGCCAGTCTCTGTGGGAGGCAAAATTTTAAGCTTTCTATCCTACCTTCAGAGAGGGGCAGGGGAAGGAGCCGTTCGCCAGTGTCTAGCAAAACTCCAGGGCGTCTAGGTTTTGCAGGGGGTGACGCCCGTGCCTCCCGTCCTCGGGAGTGAGGCGCGCCGACCTTTCCGCCGCAGCGCTGGGGATTAGGGCACCGTTACATCTCTTTCCCCTCACAAGCACGGGGACTGCAAAAGCCCCGTTAGCTCTGCCTCTCATCTCCGCCTACAGCATCACTCCTGACAAATTGGATTCGGCGCCCACCCGAGACACGGAAAAATCCCGGCCCGGCCTCTGCACGGAGCGGGGCGGGGGCAGATCCCCAGGTGCCAGCCCCATCCCGTCTCGTCCCGTCCCGCCGAGCTGCCCTCTGCGAGGCCGCTCAGCCCCCGGCTCTGTGCTGGCTCGCCTTTGCTCTTCGGAGGAGCGTGCTCCTGGTACCTCAGAAGCTCCCGGGCGGGGTGCGTGCCGTCCGGGGCACTCGCGGTGTGCCCACGCGCTCGGGTGCCGCGGAGCGGAGGCTCCGCACCGGCAGCCGCCCGTGGGCAGCACCGCGCGTCCCGCACCGCGCAGCCTCGGGCGGGGCGGGACCGCAGCGGCCGGAATGCGGCTCCGCCGCTGAGCTCGGCGCCCTCCGCCGCCTCTCCGCCCACCTGACTCGGAGCCGCGGGAGTTTTGTCGAGCCGACGGCTCCGCGAGTCCGTGGGTCACCGCTGCCCTTACCGCGCTGACAGGCCCCTCGGCCCGGCCGCAGGAGCGCCGGCCGAGCGGCTCCGCGGGCGCGGACGGGCCGCGCTCCTCCCGGGCCGGGGCCAGCGGCACGGCTCGGCGCAGGGCTTTTCCCTCCTGGAGCACGCCTGCTTGCTTGCCCTGTCCGTTTCAATACGATCCCCCGGGGGCTTGGCAGTCCCTTCGGCCAGTTCGTGCTCCGTTGGGTTAACCTGGACGGCGGCCGTGCCCCGTGGGAAGAGCCGGTCGGTGCCGCCAGCCGCCGCCAGGAGCGTCCCCGCCCGCGGGGAGTCGGGCCGAGTCGCTCCCGGCCGTGCCAAGCCAAACCCGCGGTCTCCCCGCCCCGACGGCAGCCGGCCACCCCCGCGGCGCAGGGGCCAGCCCGCGCTCCTCTCGGCCCGGGCGTGCGGCGGGGCCCTGCTGCCCCGCGGCCGTGCGGGGCTGGCAGCGAGCGCGGCCCCGGCTCGCTGTGCCGAGCCGCAGCGTCCCTCCGTGGCCATCAGCCACGGCCTCCTTCCTGGTGTCCCACTCGTGGCTCCTCTCGGCGAAAGAGCGGCAAGCCAAGCCCGTTTCGGTCACCAGGGCTGAGACGCAAACCTGCTTTTGCACAGATGGGCTCTGAGGCTCCAGCGCGCGTTTGGCTCTCCCTGCTGCTGACAGGACGCGGGGTTTACTCAGGCGTTCTGTGAGCGGCGACTTTTGGGTGGCCAGCGGCCCCCCAGCCTGAGCTGCCTCCGAGCCCAGCCCGGCGACCCGTGAGCTGCAGAAGCGCTTCGCTCCTGCCCCGCTCCTCTCTGAGCCCAGCGAGCCCGGGATAAGCAACCAGCGGCGCTGGGTCTGTGTGAGTGACAGGAGGCGCCGCTGACCGGAGGAGCTCTCTGCTCCTCTTTCGAGTTCAGTGCCAAGCTGTGCTTAAAGCATTTATGTTTTTTCTCTCGGCAGTGCTCCCCAGAAATGCGTAGTTTCTGCCGAAGACTCTCCTTTCAGCACGCGCGGCAGTGCAGAGAGAGGAGCAGAGCTCTCCTGGTTGTTTGAGGGCTCCGTGAGGAAATGTGTCTGAAGGAGTTTGGCGCTAGGGCGCTGGGAGCTGTCAGGCTGCCTGGGCGTCTTCAGGCAAGGCAGACTCGGGGTTGGTACCAGCCGTGGCCACCATGATGTTCAGCTTCCCGGGAGTCCCATAGGATGTCCTACAGAAAAATAGCTTCTTAAACGGGGAATTCTCAAGGTTTCAAGGGTTGGTTTGTTTGTTTGTTTTAAAATTGCTGCCTGCACTCCTTATATGTCTCAAAACTCCCCATCTCTGTGACTCTCAAGAAGAAATTTTCTGAAATGTAAATATATCCAAATTCTATGAAACACAGATGTTAGTTTTTCTGTCTTGATTTCAGAAAAAAATGCAGTTTTCTGGGAACTGCCATTACTATGCTTTTTTAATATTTAAAAATACAGATCTATGTACTATGAAAATATTACATAAGAGTGTTTCTGTAATTCAGATGTAATATGTGAGGCATAAAATTATTCTGATCCTTCGGGACATAAACCACTTCTATTTTTGCAGTAGTTAAAGGGATTGTGTTTTGTATCTTTCTTTGGCTTGTATTTGAAGTCCACCAAGTAACTGTTGGTTGTGATTTTTTTTTTTTTAGTTCTTCATCAGATTATTTTTCATGTTTCTTGTGAAGCACAGGAGTGCATGGCTCTTCAGAATATTTTCCTTGTAAATGGGCTTTACAGATGAAGTTACAGGCCTTTTAAGATCTGTGAAAATTTTGCTGTATATTTCAACCAGATTTCCATCCAGATCTTTTAAACAAGTTGCGTTGAGCTAAAAATGTCAGTAGTAACTTTCTGACTCTGCCTAGGAACTCACAGAGAAATTCTGTCTATGAACTGACATGTGGGGATCCTTAATTCATAGCAGAAAATGTATAAATGAAAAAAATTACAGCCTAATCGTATGAAATAGTAAACCTGAAAGCATTTACATTTCTCTCTCAATAGTTGCTAGTATTAATCCACACATTTCTTAATCTGTTTTAGATGATGAGATCTCAGGCTCTAGATAAACCACATATGAAGTGATATGAATGTTAGGGCCCAATTCTGCTCCTGTTTGAAGTCAGTAATAAAACTTCTTTTGGCTTTGGACTAAGAGCTTACAGATGATGAAAAGTGGAACTCCACAGTGAAATGTGGAAAGAATAGAGTTTTGGAGTATTGTGTTACTTTTAAAAAATAAATATTAGTCCTGTCATATCTCTCTGGATCTGAATGAAATGAGGGAATTGATCATTTTGGTTATGGTCATCTGTTTGTTCAAAGGATTCTCAAATGACTTCTCCAAAAGATTTCTGGTTGTGCCAATGTAACAGCCAGTTAGTATCAAGTAATGAAAATTTTGCAGAAACATGGAATATAAGCTTTTAAAGCCTGATTCTCAGCTGCAGAGCTGTAACTTCTGCAGAATTATGACTAATGAGGAGAAAAAGCATTTACTTCAGGAGAGGTTTCTCTTCAGTAAAACTTTGAGTATGGTAACACTGATTTTAGTTACTTCTACTGTCTTCTTTGTGTTCTGCTTCTTTTAGTAAAAAAAATCCCCACTGTTATAGAAACATTCACAATTGCTAACTCATAGATGGATGAACCACTTCACTTCCTAATGCAAGCAAAAGGTGTCATCTTCTCTCATAAGCAAAAGCATTGATTGCCCTGGGACCAGAGGTGCTGCAGGGTACCCATACTGCATTTTTGCTGTTTTCCTTCCTGAGGCATACCACCTCATTTTCTTTTGTATTTCACATTTTAAAAATTAAAATCCTTATTTTAAAATAAATTTTTCGTTGGTTATTAAAAAAAGATCCTGCTTAGATGCTTTGAGGATCTTGGAGTTCACACAGCCCCTTCTGTATTTAACCTGTATTTATCCCTACATTTCTGGATTAATTTTAGATGTGTGTTTTGGAAGTGACCATAACAAATGTTTCTGCTGAGTGGCTAATTTTCATTTGAGTTACAATTTCTTTTATGAGCATGCAATGCAGCTTCCACCTTTAAGGCTGGAAACCAACCTAGTGAAAAATTACCTTCCTCCCAGTTTAGGATTACACTGAAACACATGCTTGCATTTCCTTAGGGATAAGCATGTGCTTAATAAAGTTGCATGAATCTGGGCTACAGATCTTACAATAGTATATATTACTGTGAAATGTCCCCCAGATTCCCATCCCAGAGTACACCATACACCTCATTTTTGTAGGACTAGACCTTGCTGTTCCACTGATTGCACATCTCTGGAGGAAAAAAAAAAAAGGAAGAAAAAAATGTGTGGCTAATTTTAAAAATAAAAGTAGTCCAGGAATATGGATGTTGGTGGAACTTCATTCAAGTTGTAGGACACGAAATAAAATAAACACCTGAAATTTTTTGGCACTGCTTACAACCTAGCAATTTATTTTCAACTTTATGCAATCACTTTTTTTTTCTTTTAAGACTCTGGCACCATATTGAGTAAATGAATTGCATATTAAAATAATGGTGACTAGACTGTCGCCAGATAAATAAGAATAGTTTTGGAAGAAATCATTCTGATCTCTTGAGGGAATAAGCAATAGTTAATAATTCTTTGAAAACTTATTTTAAAGACAAAATTAAAATGAAACATGTTTAAATAATATTCAGGTTGTAATAAAGATGAGGAGAAACCAGCAAATGTGAAGTCCAGGCTGACACTTGAAATTATGCTGCATTATTCCTTAATTGGAATACTCAACTTACTTTTGTCTGTATCAAAGCCTTAAGGTTACTAAAATTGTGTGTTCCAGATCATATTTTGTTTAGATTCTAACAGCAGCCCTTCCAAATTGTCTGTTGGAGTCACCAATTGTGTCATTCTTATACCCATTCCTTGGCTGCCAAACACAGGACATGCTGGTACATAGATTACTGAAACGAATGCATACATCTATGATATATCAGGAACTCCAGGTGCTCTAACAATCTGCTGACAAACACTAAAAATATTAGATCCACAAGCAACTCCTTGAATGTAGTGGAACGCCCTATGACACTTTTCTACTTTGGAAATTCCTCTCCCAGTCCATTTGATGAGAAAGGCTGTTTGAAGAGCATAACATTTATTTTCTCCATGTGACTGGAAAGACCTAATAACTGAGAAATTAGCAGTTATTTTTTACAGCAAACAGTACTTACCCTGAGCCTCTGCTGAGTCTCTAGGTGGCCCTCACAGCACTGGCATTTGGCTGCTTTCCTGCCTAGTTGTGTGGTCTCAGGCAGAGCAGATGAAGCCATCCAGGACAGTGCCCATGGTTTCACATGTTTCTCAGGCAGTAACACAAGAAGGACTCTTCAATTCAAACACTATTTTTTTCCATACTGATAAAGCAAGTCAAGTGCTTTCCCTTTTTAATGCCTGTGTCTCTTCACAATTTTAGTGTTTTCACAGTGGTTTCTTTTGCAATTAGTTGCTTATTTTTGGTGCCTTCTTCCACGCTTCCATGGGGAGGTTCTCTCAGAGACTTATTCCCTCATCTCTCTGTCTTGCTACCACGTAGCTCCTTTTAGGAAAACTTGGAGACAGACCATGGTGCTTCTGGAAGGGGGAAGTGTGACGCTGATGAGTTTCTTCCATGCTGGTTGGTGTTTTAAGCTGACTGAACAGCTTCAAGAACTCAGATTTGGGAAGCAACAGAAATGGTGACATAAGGGAGGAAAGGATAAGTAGGAAAAAACCATTCCTATGCAATAATTAGGTTTGGAGCAGCCATACAGTTTTGAAGGACCTGATCATCTCTACTTAACTGCACTTCCTGAAGTGGTCTTTTTTTTGTGTGCATAAAGTCTATGATATTTAATGTAATTTACAAAATTCTGCTGTCCTCCAACAACATCATTCTGTGTAAAATGAATAAGATTTAGGGATCTGAAAAATTCTTAGCACCGTGATTGCATCTGTATTGCTTCTATCAAGGATTCTGAGTAATGTATGAGAGGATGTCGTTTGAAATGGTAAGACTCTTTTAACCTGTACCTAACTATTTCATGTTTGTTGCCTAACTTGTTGCACATCTCTCAGCTTAAGCATCATTACACTCATTACATTGGACCCCTTTAGAGGCGCAGTGTGGCAGAGGTTGGGAAGCTGTAAAACAGGCTGCAGGTGTATACAACATATACATTATATACTGGATGTGCATTATACAAGGAGCTCTATAAAGTTTCTGATTCTGATTAAGGAACACAAATCTAGACTGCATCTGCTGAGACAAAGACTTTAGCCCTCTGTTATTGTAGGTAGCTGTGTCATGTAAATGAATCCTTGTGTAGTATAAAATTTGTTCTTCACCTGTTGTAAGTCAGAAGCATATGCACACCGAATATGTCAGTGAGCTATAAGAAGGGAATGAGAATTAGGCACATGGAGAAAAGAGCTGGAAAAAATGGAGGACACACAAACAAAATTCTGTTTGGGCTTACTTTCAATAACTCTATTCGAAACCTTTTATCACTTGGTAATTTGGGAACAGCTTTCCAGCTTGTACAGGCTTGAATGCTTTTGTTTTATAAGTGTGTGTGCACACACTTCTTTTATGGAGCTGAAAATTTAGTGCATACCTGGTTTCTGTTGCTATCTGAAATTCACAACTGTGCTTTATTTCCTCCACTTCCTTCGTATAGGATGGTTCGCACATTGTATGCCATCGGTGCCTTGTTTCTTCTGATGGGATTTCTGCTGCCAGCAGCTGAAGGGAGAAAGCGGAATCGTGGATCTCAAGGTGCTATCCCTCCTCCTGTCAAGGATCAGCCCAATGATTCGGAGCAAATGCAGACACAGCAGCAGTCAGGCTCCAGGCATCGAGAGCGAGGAAAAGGCACCTCGATGCCTGCTGAAGAGGTGCTGGAGTCCAGTCAGGAGGCACTGCACATCACTGAGCGCAAGTACCTAAAGCGGGATTGGTGTAAAACCCAGCCCCTCAAACAAACTATCCACGAAGAAGGCTGCAACAGTCGTACCATCATCAACAGGTTCTGCTATGGCCAGTGCAATTCCTTCTATATCCCCAGGCACGTCCGTAAAGAAGAAGGCTCCTTCCAGTCCTGTTCTTTCTGCAAGCCCAAGAAATTCACCACCATGACTGTTACGCTCAATTGCCCTGAGCTGCAGCCCCCAAGAAAGAAAAAAAGAATCACCCGAGTTAAGGAGTGCCGGTGTATATCTATTGACTTGGACTAAACTGAGAAAAAGGAGCAATTGCACTCTGACTGTATGCAATCACTGCCAGCGTGAGAGTGAGTGGCATGAACCAGCCTACCTTCAAGGCTGGGCAAAACTGAAAGGGACCTAGTGAATTACCTAAAGCAAGCAAAACCCCCCAAAAGAAAGAAGAAGTTCATGTAAGGAAAGGGCATGCATGTGTGTATGTGTGTAAGGGAGAAAATTGGTACGGACGAGCAAATGCATGAATGTTCACTACCAAAAAGAAAAAAAAAAAGTAATGGGGTATGAGACATTAAAAAAACCCTAATTACCCATAGTCATGAATTAGGTTTCCTAATTCATGTGTATATTCACATTTTTGCTGCTTGCTGGGAAAGTGGAGCTGTGGCTTTTGCGAATGTTCACCTTTGTGCTATTTGCTTTTACTGTATTACGTGAAAACATCAAAGCGAGGGGACAATATATTTCAAAGCATGAATCTATTCTTATATAAGAAATAGACAAAGAGCAATTTAAAGTGTAGCACAGCCATCACTGAAAATAGAAGCTGTGTTGAGAGTTCGTAACACGCTTCTTCAAAAAAATAGCTCTAATCCATAAGCCATGTCTGGAGAACAATGGGGGGATGTGGGAGTGCTGAAAAGTCAATATAGGTGGATGGGAAACAGATCTACAGCAACTTAGAAAGCAAAAGGTCAAAGCAAGTAGACAGGGAGAGTACAAAAGGGAGTAGAAAAAGGAAAGATACATAAATAGGAAAACACAGAGGAAGAGATATTTTCTTCTGTTTACGTTTTGCTTTAATTTATATACCTAGTCATATATTACATAAATTAAAAATAAACTATATACAAGGCTATAAATATACATCTGAATTCTGATGGCTCTCTAAACCAAACAGAACCCATTCTTATGCCACTAAATCCATTTGATGTCTTGTATTTCTGATATCAGTTATTCTTCATATCTACATATATATGTATATGCAGTATCTTTTAGGCAGTGGTATCTATACATACATGCAATGAGTGTGCCTACTTCATTGTGTGAATCCAAACTCCTCTTTTTCACACACATACATAACCGCAGCACAGAAATCTTGCTAACCAAGATCAAGTACAGAATGGCAGTAATTTAGTACATAAAGAGTAGAGCAAAAATTAAAACAAGCATCATGTGACTGAAAATGCAATAACCACACAAGAGACAAAAGACATGACATTCATGACTAGTAAACATTGCATTGTTATTGTTATTTTAGCTTTGCCACAGGCATGCAGTTTGTTGAAACAGAGATGCAGAACTTTGCCAGCAATGGTCCTCTTTTTATATCTTTTACCACAGACTTGCATTTAAACTGGATTTGGAGTAAGTAAAGAGAATTTCCTGAACACTTAGGGCTGACTGCCCCTCTCATTTGGAGGGAAAAAAACATAAAAGGGGACACATTACTTCCAACAGCTCAATGACTCTCACCTGTGAGGTTATCTTGTGTTTTCTTTCCTTCAGGCTTAGGAACTTAAAATTGATCAGGGCTGTAAAGTTTGGTAAGAGCACAGAAGGTCCTACAAAAAAGTTAATTTAATGAGGTGTGTCCTGGGGATTGGACCAGAGAGGCAGCCCATCCATGCATGCTGTCCTTGTTATTCTGAGCTCTCGATGGTCCACGTTTACTGTATGATGAGTCTTGGAGGGTCCAGGACTCGAGTTCCCCACTCAGCTACAATATTCTGTAGCATCCACTATCAGTACAACTGTGCCCTCTCCCACCAGACACCTCTCTCAGCCATAAGGTGATTATTTTGTCATTATTTCTAGCCATAGAATGTTGAGGAGGACAATTCTGCCCATAGTAACTTGTCCAAAGGGAAAGATATATGATGAATGGCATGTCACGGGTGCATCCTATGTAGCCTCCTTTCATCAATTGTCCCCACCTGCTACATAATGCATCATACATTTATTGATGATATCCTGCATCTCTACAACTCATCTATTTTTTGCTCTAAAATCCACTGCTGTGAGGTTTGTGTTTGTAAAATTAAGGGATTGCAATGAGTTTATTGGTATTATTAAAATACATTTCATTTGGTGTGCTCTCACTCAGCAGTTTGACACATGTCTTAATGGATTTTAAAATCCAGTTTTAAAATCTGGAATTATAGGAGGTAGGTTTCCACTGTGTGGAATGTGAATAGTTAGACAGAAAGATGTGGATATTTAATGTTATTATTAATACAAATTCACTTTCACTGATAATAGGCAGGGAATATTTTCCTTTAAATTACTTTTTTGATATTTTTTTTCCCAGGGGAAAGGGACAACCTCAGTCATTGCTGGAAATTTTGTACTAGCTTGGGTTTTTGTCCAAGAAATGGGAACACCTTATGATTTTTTCTTGTATAGTTAACAGCAAAATTCACATTTTCTTTGACAGAGACTGCTATGTACATAACCCCTTAGCTGTTAAGCAAAGCTTCAAACATTAATGACTCCTTTAAGTTTTGTCTAGAATTCTCAAGGAAAATTGATAAAAGTATTCCAAGTCTTTATGTTCTAAAACTGCCTGTGCATAGATCATGATGGAGCTCCCCTTGAGGCAGATCCCCCTCACCCATGTAAATTTTATACAAAGAACTTCTATGAATTGCTAGTTATTGCCTGAGAGTAAGAAAGTTCTGCTAACTTACAATTATATGAGATATTTAATATCAACCACAATATGTATTTAAATGTCTGCTTTATTCTAAAAACAATGGACTATATAACCTAAGGCTGCAGTATTTTCATGCTCAGTCTCACAAAGCAAAACTTGGTTTAAAATGAAGTTTTAATTATTTTGTAACTGAATAGAATTGGAGTTTTTTCTTCCCAGCATTTTGTACGTCATTTTAACTACTAGTAACAAATAAATAAAATATCTTCTCTAGACTGTGTCTATTGTTGTTTGTTTTTTGGTTTTTTTGTGGTTTTTTTAGTTTAGATTCCCCCCCCCCCCCGCCTCCCCAAGTTTCCAGCTCTTTCTGGATCTGTTGTACTTTATCCTGACTTCTGTGGTTTCTCCTAATTATAAAAGGCTTTACATTATGACAATAAGACATAGAGACAAGCAATGGCACCATCATTCAACACGGCTACTTCAATAAGGCTTTTAAATGAGATCTGTCACTTCCCCCTCACCCTTCCACAATTTATAGAAGGAAAATCTCAGTCTTTGCTCACACTTTTCCCCTTGTAAACCATAGAGTGACAGTTCAAAATATAAATCAGCCTGGAATTGTTGTAGAGTTAAAGTTGGAGTTGGCCTGCCTGCCTTATGCCTTATCTCAGTTTAATGTCTAGCTGGCAATTTAGTCCCACTTCCAGAAAAAAAGAATAAGGAACATCTTTGCAATACAGCATATTACAAGCTGCAAACAAGGAGAGGAGATGCAAAACAATTATAAAAAACAGGAAGATTTGTCACTGGTGGTAGCACATATGCAAGGCCAGAGTTGAGGAAGGAAAGAGAGAACCAACCAGAGAGATCAGATTTCTTCAAACTTTCCACCCCTTTTGGTTTAGTCTTCCTTTACATCTAGCTTTGCCGTGCTTCTAAAATGTACTGAAAACATAATAAAATTATCTAAGAATCTTTTTTTTTTTTTTTTTTTTTTTTTTTTTTATTTTTTTTTTTTTTTTTTTTTTGAAGGTAATTGACTTTTCCTGGACAGTTGAACAGAATAAGTTTCCTTGAGAAGTTGTGTGTATGTATCTTTATTTGAATATTTAAACCAGAGAAAAACCTTCTCAGCTTAGCTTTCTAGTACTCCATGATACCATGGTCTTATTATTTATATAGTAACATATAAGTTCATTATAGTTTATATTAGTCCTACATATCAGCTTTGAATTGAAGATATCCTCCCATGTGCTTTATAGTTAGCTAGACTGATCAGAAGGTAAGAGAGAGAATTCACACGCCTTGCTCTGCTGTCGGGATGCAGGCAGAAATGAGCCCCTCCTTTTCTCTGTCCCTGGTGGGACAGGCTGGGTCAGTGTTGGGGTTCCTGCGGGTGCTCTGCCAGCCAGTGCTGCGCCCTTGACTCGCAGGGCCTGGTGAGACGGGGGCACGGAGAGAACGCTGGGCAGCAGATGTGCACAGTGGGCACCCTGGGCTCAGCCGGGCACACTGCGCCACGCCTCTGCTCCAGCTGCCTGGCACCGGCGCTGCCTGCCTGGCAACAGGGACCTTGCCTTTGCAAAAATGATGGGGGAACTTCACCTTGTCGTTTGCCTTCTCCTGAGTGAATAAAAACCTGAACCAAATAAAAAACCCACCACCGAAACAAAGCAAAAAACCCAATCCAAACAAAAAAAAGCAGAAAGGAGAATTAGAAGTGTACTCTTGGGGCTGATGTTCTTTTTCCACTGTAGATGTAAACCTACAGGTTTTAGTTCCAATAGGTTTCCTGAAGGAGAACAACCAAGTGAAAAAACTTAGATCTTATTCACTCCAAATAACTCAAACCTGCCCTAAAAGACACCTCATTAGTTACTGAAATACTACGGTCAACTTTGGCAGAAGAACATCCAAATTTTTTTCTGAGCTGTCCTGCTTACTTGGATGCTTGCTATGCACTAAAAAAGGGGAGAGCTGCATCATTTAAATTTTAAGGGAGTGAAAATTTAACGTGCATTTATATTTAGCCAAAACAATAGAACTCACTGGTTCGTATTTTTAATAACAATAATATACTTTTTTTTTTATCAGCTGAGCTGAAAACAGGAATTCCCAGCAATGCGCAGGAATCATAAAGAATCCCAGTGCAGATTTTTGATGCTACCTTGTAATGCATCTACATAAAAACATCTGAAACCAATGTGCACTGCCTACCTGGAAATGTAGCTGATGACTTTAAAGTGCCTTGTCTCAATGTGTGGCTTCTGGCTGCCTGAATTCTTCCTCTAGCTTTCATGGGCCTGGATGGAGGAGTACAGAAATTTTAACTTGCTTCCTTTCCTATTATTTTTTAGAAGTTTTGAAAATAAAATTTGTAATCCACCTTTTTTTGGATAAGCAAGGAGCAAGATATGAGAAAGTCTATACTGAGTTAAAAAAAGGTTCTTTGGGATTGCATTAAAACCCCCCAAATTTCTAGGCTGTGAATAAGCAATAACTCCTCATGCTGTGGTACAGACGTAGATGACATAGCTTGGGGATGGATCAAATGGAAAAATTACACTGACTCACAATAAAAAATTCTACAAAGAAAATTGGAACTTCCTATATTTGCATTTCTTTTTTAAAGAATGCCTTGTGGAAAAAAGTAATATTCCAGTTCATACTACAAGAGCAAAAAGGAACAGAGGTTAAAAATTCTCTCTCTCCAGAATATTTGAGAGCTATATCTTATCTTTCTGCCTAGCAATATCAATAAGGTTTCTGGCTAAAGCAATTGGAAAGAATTAATGTGTAATTTATATCTCATATGGGATAGAATTCTCAAATTCATTAATCATAATTTTATCATATGGCATCACAACTGAGCACTGTTGAGATTTTTGATTCATATAATGATGAATTTGCAGACAAGATTGTCTTTCTTTTATTTAAATTTTTGTAATTCAGTTTTTGAAGTGTAAGGACACATTCAATTCTGTATTTAAGGGAAGAGATATACTCTCAATATTTGCTTTGTATTAGTCCACTGTTCTATACAGAGAATTAAAAAATCATGCTATATAGATGTAACATGAATGTATTTATTTCTCTAAATAAAGGTGTGAAAGCCAAGCCGTGCATTAGATATATGTAAAAGTCTGGAAAATATATATTGGATAAGATCATACATAAAACTATCGGGTACTGTGCCAAGATTTTTAAGAACACACTTTAGGAGTGACTAGTCAGCATGACACTAGTTACAAGAGTAGTCACAAAGAATTTATTTTTTAAGGTTGGCGACAGTGTTTTGTGTATTCAGTTAAGTTTATTTCTAGACAGTTACACTTAATGGAGGAAGTCTTGCTGAACATCTCTCTTTAGGATCTGAAGGACCTTGAATGTTCCTTCGAAAACAGATGTTCATGAGGGACATGATTTCCATTTTTGTTGTTAATTTGTTTCAACTCAAATGAATGAGGAGGCTAGAATTTGGGTGTTAAGTTAGATTTAGCAAATAAAAAGGAGAAAGAAAACTATGTGCACAATGGCAAGAACTTATTGAATGGATCTAAATCCTATGGTAGGTAATTTGATCTAATTTTTGCAGAAAGGCAAATGCCAGATGTTTGCTCCACTTTGATCTTAATAACACTTTAGGCTGCAGACAATAAGATTGGTTTAAAATTTATTGTCTCTTTGATTTCTCTATTCTAATGCTTTTTAAATTCTTTACACAAGACAGATCTATATATAGGCAACTGGGGTGGCATCAGAAGCATTGTGTACTTAAGACATTCTTGAAAACCTCAGTATGGAGCAGTGTTTGCTTTTTTATGCATCAAAACAAAGCCAGATTTTATACAAGCAACATTCAATTTTCATTTTATTATAATGTCTCTTTTTATTTTGCGTATGAAGTTCTGACTGTCGCATCTGTGGCACAGCTCCTTATATGCTTTTATCTTTCAATAACCTTATTAAAAGTCAAGACAATATATTAAATCAACATTAAGCAGCAGGAGTTGAAAGTTAAGCTAATCCATTCCTTTGCATTGGGAGTGTAATCTATGTAGATCTCTAATTTCACCATTTAGTTGCTTTTAGTGTTTCTTTTGTACAGAATACGCTTTCTAAAAGGAGAACTGCTGCAGAGTGAAAAATTCTGAGGAACCATAATATCCAAGAGGTGCCCAACTTGCCTTTGATCTGGATCTTCCCATTCAAGGAAAACATTGCTCTGTCAATGTGAGTTGAACTAATCTTAGAGCTGCTTTTTAAGTGCTCTCAAATTTCTCCCAGGATATCTTGTATATTCACTACTACTGAGAAATGGTGAAAAGCAAGTAAGACTCAGGACAAACAGTAGAGCAAGAACAATGGTTAAAAGGAAATAGAAAAAAAACAGGCAGAATGTCTTATCATGATTCTCTGGCATAGTTTGTACCCATTGGTCCCTTAGATCCATGCATGATGTCTCAACAATTGGTTTCACTCTGCTCAGCTCAGTAGTCTGAAAGTTCAAAAAGTCAGAGCCAGATTTT